CTTATTATTTAACAAGTTTCTTAGTATGGTTTGATCAATAATTCAAAAGTTTCATACCATTTATCTATTATCAAATTATTTGATACTATTATTTGAATTAACCGTACATGATCAACTACTATTTACTGTCGAGCTTGGGGTCTACTTCTCAAATGATGAGTTGTCCGGCCGGTACACAAGAGGAGTTAGAACATGCTCACATGTCAGCTGGACCGCAGCGCTATAGTCCCTCCATCATGTAAAACCGCTTGGAGCTTGGAGCATGGTTCACCAAATTAGTTGAGTTGAACTCAACGCGGCACTTTCCAGAAAACTCGATTTTTGAGTAAAACGCCAAAAGTATAAGAATATAATCACTTTGTGTCAAATTCCACAACATTAAACAACAAAATTAAAAGAGATGAAGTAGATTATAGATTTTTATTATTTTATCTTTTTGGACCTGAAGTTGACACCTCATAAATAAATAAAGAATATTATTGGCGTTGAAGTTGGTGCCACAAATTTTTTTAAAATAATAATAATAATTTAATTGGAGCCGAATTCAAAGTCTACACATAGTTTAATCTTTATCAAAATATATATTATTAGATAATTTTAAAATTATTCATAATTTTCCGTCCGCCAATCTTAGTCTCATTTCTTTGTAAATTTACAAAGAATGTGGGCTAAAATTGGCGGGCGGAGGAACTATTTACTTTTTATATATATGTAGTATAAAATTATTTTGTTATCAATATAATTAATTTTTTACTAATGATATTAAAAATATTATATATCTGAAACTATAAATTCAATTTTTCATTCTAAGTATTATTAAAAATGGACAGAGAAAGCATGAGAGCTTTTAGCTCGTATTCTTCACTGAAAATAGTAAGATACGAATAGAAAGCAATGCGAGTAGATATAGGAGACACCGTTCTTGTAGTCTAATAATTCGTTAATAGATTTGAATTTGATAAACAAAAACTTATTTGAGCTCAATTCATTGATAAAAAATAAACATCAAGCAAGTAGATATGAATTTCAACCAACTTAGCTATAAACACGATCAATCAACGTGCAAAACGATAAGCCAAATTCAAATACATATCAAATATTTGAAGAAAAATTCCTATTCAACACAATCTAATTAGCATATGATATGATATGAGATTTCCGCGAGATGAGAAGGAAAGTCCTGAATGCTACAAATGGGACTACATTGGTTGTGAGGCGCACAAAAGTTTGCAGAACAGGTTCACAATTAGTGCACTCGGAAGTCCCATTTATGTGCACCCGAACCTGAAGAAGCTTGCCAACAACTCCGGCGGAAGAGACAGAGTAGACGAGGGGAAAATTCATACACTATTAGAGAAGCTGATTGTCTTCGGTACCTTTCTGTTGCCTCTGAAATTTCTGGAGATATTTACCGGTAAAATGAAGGGATACAGCGTTGGGCACGAGATGTTCATGATTACAGGCAACTCCGGCACAGATGCTCGGGAGTCTATGATGGAACAATTCAATCAGTCCCTGGAAGCTTGAGTCTTGTTTAGTTCAATCAGGCATGTGGCAAGGGCATCTCTCTCGTCGGGGCTTCTCGCATTTCATCTTCAACATTAAACTGGCCCGGCAGGCAATCAAGAGGGCGTTCTGGCCGGGGCAGACAAGGAAGGTTTATACTTACCGGTTGATCGTGACCGGCTCGCTCGAAGAGGCGGACAATGCTGCATGCTTCAAGAAAGAAATGGGACAAATGCAGCAAGGGTAAGGACAACCTCGAAATGGAGCCTTTCCCCATAGATGTCTGCGGTGACATTTTTCTGGAGACTCCACGGTTTAAAGAAAATGACCGGAGGTGAGCCAAGTTTTGAGTGATTTTTTTTTTCTTTTTGGTATTTGATTTGAATGCTTTGTTCGGAAAATTTGTCTATGATTTTTGTAGCCATTGAAATTATATCACATGTTGAGAATAGTTTTGGATTATGATGTACCGTGTACAAGCTTTGCGTTGTTGTTGACTTCTTGTTGGGATTCAATATATATAATTTTTTTATGTTATTTTTTTAGAGAAAATTGCAAAAAAATATATATATCATTGATGTATATTCAATTATTATTTTTGTCTTTTATTTATCTCGCTGACAAAATATATGTCACACTGTTGGACATGAGTCGAAAAGCACCCTAACATGAAGGAGGCTCGAAGACAAAAGCGGAGTCGGAGCTCCTAGGCCACGGAGCCGTCCAACAACAATAGAGCTTTATGCCACAAAGCCAAAGATTGGTGCCTCCACAGAGCCGAAAACAACTGCTTCCATTGGACTACGGTGCTTCTAAAAAGTAGAAGAAGGTTGTCTCCATAAGACAGAAAGCAACAGCTTCCATAGATCATGGGATAACCACCTCCATTGGCGCTGGGTTAATAATTTCGTACTGAACATTAGGGGAAGATCTATGCACTTTCATATTTTATTAAAAAAGCCCCATGGAACAAGCCAACAAGAGAAAAATTGAAGACACCACGTGACTCAAGCTTGTTGGAAACAAAACCCTGTAGACCGGCTAAAGATGTAATGGAGGCAATTCGGGGTAAGCTGCATATCGATTCAAGGGCAGTGGAGGCAGTTCAAAATGAGTGGAGAGCTGGTTCGGATGTAATGGAGGCGATTCAAAGCAAATGCAGCGGTTGGAAGCTAATGGAGAGAAGTTACCAGGCGGTTAGAGGTAGTGGAAGGAATAAGTGAAACTACCTTTTTAGTATAAGAGGTAGTTATTTGATATTAGGCTAAATTTAGTAAAACACACAACAAACACATATCCTCTACAAGTCTTTATCATTTTATTTAGTTTATCCATAGGTTTTAGGAGATTATCTTAATTTCTTACTAATTTACGTTTCCAACATGTTTTTATCCGTTTTTCAGTAGATTTATCCGCATTTTAGTAGATGTTAGTTTAAATCTATCGAAATCGGTCGTTTAGGCTCAAAGCCGTGCAGGCTCCATCGAAGGAGCCACCCCCAATCCGACGACGGACAGGCTGTTTGGAGTACTTCCGGAACCCACATGATGAACGGTCTTGGAGTCTCTGAATTTTAGGTACCAACATACACGTTTGAAAAAGTTGTCATATTTTTCCTCTGGCAGTGCATCCTGTTCACACAATAGTTGTTCCACCGGCAGCCGGAGGATAAAAATGATGATTTTTTTCAAAAGTGCGGAATATATTTTGCCATTGAGATAAATAAAGACAAAAGTTGAGAATATTTTTTACAATTGTCCCGATTTTTTAAATTCGTTTTATATAGTAGTTTAAAGGAGAGAGGGAAAACACAGAGAAGTGTAAACAAACTTATTCAAAACCTTAAATACATCATAATTTTATATATTTAAAATATTAAATCGGTATATATTGGAAAAAAAAAAAAAAACATTCCAGTTCAACTTAGAGTGTTCTTACAAATTCAATCAATATAATTATTGTGAGAGAACATGAGCTTATATGCAAACTTAATAAATATTGGAAACACCCTACTATGACTCATCCGGACAGAAAAAGCAATGATCCTATTGTTTCTCTTATCAATAATTTTTCAAATTCAATCGTCAAATGATGTTGATATCTTTGGCCAACACTCAATTGATTGTTCAACATTTTCATATGTAGAGAACATCATATTTAATAAAAATGTCATTTTGGAATCCATCACAATTTTGAATCGATTACGTTACTAAATATGAATTGATGTTGTATATTAATATATATTTACATAATCATATAAATTATTAAGTTTCTAATTGTATATCTTTTTTTAAGGTCTAATTTTTTATAATTTCAAATGTATGAGCTAATTATTGAACTACATGTAGATGTCGAATTTGGCTCCAAATTATTTATCTCAATTTTTTACACGAACTTCAGCGCCAATATTCTTTATTTATTTATATTTTTTTGTGTTGAATTCGGGTCCAAAAGAAGTAACTATTATACCCAAAAAAAAAAAAAAAAAGGAGTTCTTGGGAAGGTCTGCTTTGATTCCAAATCAACTAATTTGGTGAACTATGCTCCAAGTACTTACCACTTGGGCAGTCCTAACCCCTCTCGTGTACATACTAGCCGGACAGTCCATCATTAGAGAAAGAGACCCCAAGCAACAATAAATGATAGTTTTTATTTATTTAAATGATAGTTGATCATGTACTGTTAATTGATCAAATCGCAGTATCAAATACTTTGATAATCAATAAATGGTATGAAACTTCTGAATTATTGATCACACTGCAATAAAAAAATTGTTAAACAATAAGGGATAAAAAATTATTGATTGAACAAAGAAATTTTATCATTTTCATATGTCATACTCAAAAGTATCACTTTCCTGTTTTAGTAAAAGTAATCGTACACAAATACCAAAATACACTTAACTTTTATTTAAATTACAAACATACTATTACATATACAATTACTTTTTACATAGAGACAAACAAAAAAAAATGTCAAAACCTCTTACACATTTCCACTGACTAATAAAATACTATTATTTTTTAATCTACTAAAGAACTTTAAATGATCCTTTTGAAAAGGGACGGAGGGAGTATATACTAGACTAAATCAATAAACTATAATACAATAAAATGTTGATATGATACATCAAAATCCGAATCCACAAGAATCACAGAAAAATTTGCTGAACGAAGCATTCAATCAATACCCATAAAAATCACTCGCAATTCCGATAGACAACAACGGCATTTTCTTTAAATTATCTTCCACTGTAGATCCAGTTTTCAGGGCACATGTCTCTTCTCTTTTGTTCAATGTTGAACTAAAGATTTCAATTACTCACCTAGTAGAATAGAATTCTCAACGGAACCGATTGTTGGAAACTATAGCCAATACGATCATTTCCCCTTATTGAACATGAAGAAGGTATATATGTGATGAATATTCATTTTAACACACTACAAAAAATTTCATTTTTTGTGACGAAAATATTCCATTGCAAATATCCATCACTATTTTTTAGTCGCTACTATTTTGCGACTACCAATGTCTTAACAATGAATAAATGTTACACATGGGCCAAAGATTTTCGTAGTTACCTTGAAAATGTTGATGCTGGTCCACCGAAAGCAAAACAAGGGGGAAAGAAATATATATATATATATATATATATATATGTTAGGACTTGAATCATGAGACGGCTACTATTAATGAGCTTCGAGATAAAATTAGGATCAATTGCATTACCTTTCAAGTGAATTATTAATTTTCGCATTTCTTATGCCAATTATATCATCCTCATTTGGGTGACTAGATTTCTGTTTTGGAACGGTAATTCTAGTCATTTCACCACATAAACCAAAATGTTGTTCCAGGGATCTCTTGATCTGCATTTTATGGTTCTTAAACTCAGAACAATAGATTAGAAACTGGATTAAGATATTGAAGTGCTGCTTGTATAAAATGTTAGAATGGAAAAGCATACCTGATCAATACCATCACGTTTATAAAATCCACGAATGTATATTGTTCGTACCTTCTGGGATGAGTTTGTGTCTTTGCCACTAAAAGATAAATGATTTTTAGCCATGTGATATTTATCAAAATGCAGATGGCATTAGAAGTAGGAATTAAAGCAATTTTACCTTTCGTAAGAGTTGAGTGAGCCTCTTTCCCTTAAAAAGTCAATTTTAATGGGACAACGTAGCGACTCCTTACTATTTAATTCTCTGACAGCCTACATATAAACAAGAAATTATTAAAATAAAATAGCGGTAGAAATTTCATGTGTTCCCAAAAGAAATAAGTATCTCCCATTGCGCCAAGTAATAAATATGCCAAGACAACCTAGATAATACAAAGAAATTGGACAAGGATCCATCTTCAACGTATCAAACTTTCAGAAAGAACACAAGTTTAAATATTAAGCCCCTACATATATACATATATATACCAACGTAATTCTACAGACAAAAATAATATTAAAATACTTGGGCTCTTGCTCCATCTCCTAAGCAAAGCTTCTCTAGAGTCTTGCTTACATGAATTACACGAATAATGGAACTGACTGTTTTTCCGTAGTCCTTTGAAAAATACAAACCAAAGATCTTCACCGGCTTAAATTTGGAATCTAGCTTGATCTTTTGCAAAATGCTCAAGTCATTCATAGGGTCCAAATCACTGTTAAAGACAACCACAGTGTCTATAGTTGAAAGTTCGATGCCTGAAAAAACAACATCAAATTTTCATCAATGGTTAATTACCAAGAATAAGCAAATGGTTATTATCTTCAATATAAACATGAATAATATGCTTGGTTGTATCAAAAATTCATATCTAACAATTATCTTTGATTCAAAAGAGTGCATAATTCATACGCAACATGAGATCTGGGCATTATCTTAAGCAATTCTACACCAAACAATTATTTTACCTAAAAACTATCAAAATAAAACACAATAATTTTCCATTTCCAGCTCCAAAACTCAACATCAATTTTCATTCATAAGGTAATGTGGATGAAACAACCCTGAAATCAAAATCAAACAAACACAGGAGTAGTGCAGAAAAGTATACGGCTCGAATTGGCAGCAGGAATTCTTCTCAGCGCAGAGCTCAGATCATTTTTTCCGTAGGATGGATGGATCCACAGAAAACTAGCACAACAATAAAATCAAAACATCAGCAACAAAAATAAAAAAACAAAAACAAAAATCACACAGAGCACGGATCGAGCGACAATGACGATTAACTCCAGAACATCGAAATCATCGGCAAGTGGCAATCACCAATAATGGCATTGAAGAAAAAAAAAATTCAAATTGGTAGGAAGGTAAGAGATTTCAACAGCAATTGAGTTTAAGCAGATACCAAAAAAACTTATATGATTTCAGATAGGCGCGGATGAAATAATCGAAATGAGGCAATTGCATCGGCAACGTAGCTTTATCGGAGAAAGAGAGAGCACAACAAAATCAAGTGTGAAGCAAGGTAATAGAGCGAGGATGGAGTTTATTTATAATAGAAAACTTTGAGGGAAGTGTTTGTTTTATTTTTTTATTTAATTTTAATTTTATTTATTATTAAATTAATAGTATATTTTATTCACCTGCCAAAACACGAAGAATGTGTTTCTTTTTAATCTGATTTAGATTTGGAAATTTTGATTTGATATGTTTGTGATAAAAATATAAATATATTTGAAAAATATAAAATTTTAATAGTAAAAACTATAAAAAGAAAAAAGAAAAAAAACTCAAAATGAACAACTTTTGAGAATACTTATTGTAAATATGTATGTTAAATAACAAAAAAATTAAACAATGTTCATGATCTATACAGAAGCTTAAATGATCAAATTACAAGATGCATTTACAGAAGTAATATGTGGGCGATCGATTGATGATGTTCATTATTTACCGCTCAAAATTAGTTGCATTATTTATAGGACAAAGTCGTTGAAAATTATCTGTTAATAAAAAGACGAAGTATTGTTCGAAATCTAAGAATAAGACAATGATGTCATTATTATTGTTGTTGTTTTTATTGTATTATTATTCGGATTAGGTTGTAGGATTTGGATTTTATATTAAATTTTCGACAATAAAACTTTAAATTTAAACAATTCTTTTATGTAAATAAATAGATGTCAGAGGTATGTTGCCAATATAAATCTGATTTTGAATCATATAAAAACATAAAAAAATAATTTGATATTTTTTTAAAAATAAAAGTTAGATGAATAGAAAGAACCTAAAATCCCACAAACACAAAAAATTAATATTGTAACCAAATTAATGTTGTAACTAAATTAATAAATCAAATGAATTAAAGTTGTAACCATAAATATAATTAAAATGGTTAACACTCACAAATTATATTGTAACCATAATAAATATAATTAATTAAATTTATGATGGTAGATAGCAATTAATTCACTCAAAAAAAATATAACCAACAACAACATTTATAATAATAATAGTAATAGTAATTTAAATTTTTATATTTGAATTCGTTTGGTGTAGGTTGATTTTTTATCATTTATTTCATTTTCTTAGTATTTTTTAAATTTGAATTTGTACCTTTCATTATTTTCTTTTCTTTAAAAATAAAAAATCAATTAATAATATTTTTATATTATATAAAAATTATATTTTGATTCAAAATATCATATGAACCTTTATTTATACAATTATATAAGATTTAAATATATATTTAATTCAAAATTTTACTATCTTAAACTCAAATCTAATTCTTATTTTCAACTCTAAACACACAAAATACACCAAGACATCTTAATTTATAACGGGATGGTTAGTTGATAGTTTTAAAAAATGACATAAAATTTAAGATCATATTTTTAAACATTTCAAATTAAAGTTTTATTATAAGTATAATAAATTAAAGATGTTAAGAGTGGGTTGTATTTATTTTTTGGTTTTTTGTAGATGTTAATTTTAAGTGGGCTAAACAATGCATAGACAAATGTGGCTCAATTTATCTTGAGTCCAACCGAATAATAAGATAACTCAAAATTAATCAAACTTATGGAGACCCTGTCGTAGAAAAATCGTATGAGATTGAAGAATATAATATAGTTGGGTATAAAATTTCAATACAATCAAACTAGTCCGTAAACCCATGCTATGCACGGAATTATCATATTTAAATTTAATTATTATACTATTTTTATTTAGTTTTATAAATATATATAATAAATAAAAATATTTACATATAAATGTTTTTACTTAAAAAATATATAAAATAATAATCTAATATTTTTATATTTTATTATTCTTTTTCTTCTATAAATTGGTATTTTTTTGTGCTTAATTTTTTATTTTATGTGCATAGAAACTATATCGTTATAAATATCCCTTCAAACTCTTTTTTTAAGAATATCACTCACTATCACTCACTCGAAAAAAATCATATTTTTCCTTTTTTTCTAAATAATAACTTATAAATAATTTCTAATATATAATTATAAACTAATTATAATGTACAATATAATTAATAAAAGTATTGAGTAAATAAAATAAAATCATCTTATCAAATCAATATTTACTCACTAAAGTCTACAATTGAAAATGTCAACAAGAATTATCTAAACTCTTTTTATTTGAAATTAAATTTAAAAATTAAATAATATATCAATTTTTAAATTTTAAAACAAACTATTTAAAAAATTGAAATGGACTAAGGGCGTGTTCGGCAATTAGCTGATAGTTGTTAGCTATTAGCTGATTCAATTAGATGATAGTTGTTAGCTGATTCAATCAACTGGTTTGACTAGCTAATTTGATTAGTTGTTTGTATTAAAATCTTTGGTAAAATAATTGTTTGATATTAGTTGTTTATACGTAAAATGACAATTGAGGGCATTTCTATTTTATTTTTTTTCTAATATATTCGATTATGTTTTTTGAGTTTAGAATGTTTGAAATTTTTTGTTATTAGTTATTGAAAATTGTAAAATATTATAAAAATATTTATTTAATTTTAGTTAGATTTAAAAAATAATATATTTTTATTGAAATATATAAATAGTTTTTTTCCATTGAAAATGATGTAAAATATAAAATAATAAATTTTTTGTATATATATTTATTATGTTAGTTATCGATTAGTTCATTATATTTATAATTTTCAATAAATTTAATTTATTTAATTTATTTTAAGCATAAAATTTATATAATGTAATTATAATATAAAAATAAATTATTAATATTTATATTTTCTATTTTATATTGATTTTAATAAATTTATATATTTTACAATTAAAATAATTTTTATATATAAATTAATTATTTTAAATTTATAAAAGTAAAACTATAATATAATAAAATATTCTAATATAATTAATAAATAATCAAAATATATTTATTTGTGTAAAATAAATAATAAAATTTTAAGAGCATATAAGAAATAAAAAAATTTTACATAAAAAGTTGGGTAAGTTAGTTTTTCAGAAATTAGCTTTTTGGGTCAAAAAGCTATTCAAAAAGCTAATTTACCAAACATTTAAATTGGCTTTTTGACCGTTCAAACAACTAAAAATTGTTCAATAAACTAAAAGCTCTTCAAAAAGCTATTTGCCAAATACTCCTGTTTAAAATTATCCAAATATGTAATTAAATATGAAACACATGATATATAAATCTATAAAACCATAAATAAAAATAAAAAATCATTATATTTTTTGGTAAAAATTATATCAAGTTTATTTCATTAACATATGCAAAATACTAAAATGATCTAAATAATATTCAAAATATTTAAGTATCTCTTATAAATAAAACAACATCATACTATATCCATCAAAAAATTTCATGAAATTGGCAAATGAAGGATAAATTATAAATAAAATTATAAATAAAAACCTTATGATTGAAATTATTTCAAACAACAATTGTAACATACGAACAACTTTTGGTGAAAACGCCGAACTAATCTCGTAAGCATAAATATAAAAATATCCTGAAATTATAATCAATGGCGAAAACGCCGAACTAACCTCGTAAGCATAAACATAAAAATATACTGAAATTATAATCAATGTTGGAAGACAAACATAACAATACTAAACAAACATATTATAGTAAGAATATTAACCAACTACTCAAACAAAATAGTTTCCTACGTCTAAATAGTAGTATCCTCCAATAACAATAATAAATTCTATTTATAGACCTTTTATTTTTGCATAAAAAAAAATTAGTAAAATAATTAAAATGAGTGAAAATCAATTACTATAAAATAGAAACAGATAAAAAAGAAATGAATCGTTTGAAAAATAAATCGAAAAGAAGAAATTTAAAAGCATATATAGAAAATCCTAAATATATATAGATAAATAGTTAAAATTTACTAAAAAAAAAACTACACACTTTATAAAACTAATAAAAAATAAAAAATAAAAAAAAGGTTTCAAAAGCTGTTTCCTTCCACATTTGAATAAAAATAACTATCAAAAGATTTGAATTAAAAAAAAAAAAAAAAATTCTATCAAATTATTAAAAATTTAAAAATTACTATAATTGTTTTGAATTATCCAAGTATGTATAACTTGATATAATATACATAATATATAAAAATTAAAAATATATAAACCATAAAAATATATATATAGTATTGTATCATTTTTATATGAAATTAGGTTAAAAAAGATTAAGATTATAATAGACAAAAAAAAAATACCAAAACCGAAATCAAAACAAAAAGAAAGAAAAAAATCTCAACAAAATGTTCAATATTTTTTAATTATTAGCGATTAATAATAAATAAGGGGAGAAAAAAAAAATTACCATTAATATCAATATTTTAAAAATTGTAGAATGAAATACAAAATTAAAAAATATATAATAAAAAAATGAATTATATAGTTAATATGTGAAAACAACCATTTGCTATATATATATAGAATACAAAGCAGTCTCCCAATTCAATATAGGAATTGCTTGTATGTTCTATGCTATTGTTTTATTGCTTCTAATTAGCCCCACCATTAGTTGCACTAAATTTTCGATCATTTAAAGATGGTTGATAAATTGCACCACAGACAAGCCAAAAATGTTGCCGGATGCCTCCCCCAAACGAAAAAAATATATATATATTTGCATTCTTTCCGAGATGCAAATTTTATTCTTTTGAATTGATATTCTGAATCCACACGGATTCATTTTCGAAAAATCAATAAATCAGTTCTTACGATTTGATTGTTGGAAATAATAGATTCCAATATCCTCAAATTTGGACATCTTTCCAAATTTAATTTCATGTCCGCTAAAGTATCGTCATCGGTACAAATGAACTTGGATATACTTTGAAAGTTCTATCCAGGAATTAATTTAATTTAATTCATAATTTTGAAAATAAATCATTGAAGGGTAGACCTGAAATTGTCAGGGTTCGATACACAAAATTCATATTGAAAGTTCTATCCAGGAATTA